ACAACAATGAGGACAAAGTGCCTCCTATCTGAAGGAGCACCAAAAGGAAACGCCCACCCCCTGCAAGTTGGTGCTGAGATCATTAGGGAGTGTAACACAAGTCAGTCTGATAAGAGACTCTGAATTGGTTGCATGTGATGCTGAAAGCACCAGGAGTTATGTCTTCTTCCACAATGGGCTGTTGAGAGAAGACCATTCTACTTAAAGTAGGTGGTGCTGACTATTTGCATAGGAATGATACCAGGCAGGTATTAGCTAATAGTCAGCATGGGTTTTGGACTGAGAGAGCTATATAACAACAGTTTGTTCTCAGTCAGAAGAGCGCTCTCAATGTGTAGGCATGCAAAAACCATACAAGATGAACACAATTTATGAAAAAAAAAGATTCCATGACAAACTCTTTTGCTTGGTAAATTAAATAAGAGTTTGTTAGATAAAACTGCTTTGTATTTCTATAGTTTTAATAGTTTCCAGCTTAATTTCCCTTGAAACAAAATAGAGTAAACATACCTTCAAAAAAAAAAAAAACAATTAGAAAAATAGTATATGAACTGAAGACATTCAGCTAGCTAAAGTGGATAAAATATTTTGTGTTAAAGTATCAAGTAAGTTATAAAGTGGGCAACTATTTGTTTGGCACAAATGGAGGCAACTCAAAATTGTTCATATTTGATTCTTCTTTTGCTCTCTCTTTATTCATAATGTTTACATAAAAAATGGGTATTAAATAATGTATCTATAGCTAGTTGTCTCTTGCTAAATTTCTCAAATGTATTATTAATACTTTCAGAGTCAGAATATGAAATGTGGTTTTTCTTGAGATCACTTTTGTACTTCTGCAGAATCTTCCACTTGGTGCATTGATTTTCTGAAAGTATATTTTAATACAGGGGTCGGCAACTCATTCGACCCCATGGGCCGGATCGTGATATAATGGCGGGTTGCGGGCCGGATGAAGGCCATTAATGAAAAATTAAGGAAAATTACATATGCAGACCCCTGAAAACCTAAATATTTAAAACCATAATGAAAAATAAAATAAAAAATAAAATTAAACCTAAATATTTAAAACCATAATGAAAATAAACATTGAGAAATCAGAAAAACAAAAGAAAATCTAAAATTAAAAAACACCTAACAAAAATTACTTTTCCTCAAGGAACGACACAAAATACTTCAAAGTGAAAAAAAAAATCAAATCAAGTGAAATGGATGAAATTATGACGTGTAAGTTTGAAACTGTTTATGAAAATTGTTCCACAAACCTAACACACATACACACATCAAACAAAAACGAAGCACATATACCCATACATACGAGTACAAATAGTTGCAAACATATACACTTATGTATGTACACATGCGGTATCATCCACACATTCATGAGGCATGTATGTATAATGCGCGTATGTTTAACTGTCTTTAGATTTCTGCTACCTCACATGTCAGTCCCTCCCTGGCCTCTTTCACTTTATCGTTCCTTTCGCTTCTGTTATCTTTTAATGTAGCCAAGGGTCATAACAAATATGTATCTATTATTTGACATTAAAAGTAGGCAATGCAACTTGGTAAAATAAGTCTCATGAAAGATAACTGGCAGATAGTCTAATATTTTTAGTGCACTGAGATGTGTAGACATTCTATGGAAAATGACATATAACAAATTTCATTTGAAGGTCGTCTCTCATGTTAAAAATAGTCATTGGTAATCAGGCTCGCGGGCCGGTCAATCAGGCTGTAGGTTGCTGACCCTTGTTTTAATAGTTTGTCTTGCTATTAACTCTTAATAGAAAAAAAATTGCAAGTTTTTCAGTTCAACCATAAAGGGAATGACCAAGAGCCATGATGTGTTCATGCTATTCCACATGTTACCCCTGCAGTCTTAACAAAGTGACATTCTTTTCCAAGTTTCTTTAACTCTTCCAAAAGTAAATTCTGATCTTTTGGTCATTGAAATACTTCTTTGCTCTATTACCAGACAGAATTTTATTCAAATAATTCTTTTTTTTTTAACCCCCTTTTATGGTTGGTTAACAGGAACTAGTCAGATAAAGAAAGATTTGATGAGTAGGGTGGATATTCTATGCACTTAAACGTGAAATTCTCCAAAGTGCCCATTGTCTTGTCTGCTTAATAAACAGGTACCCTGCCCTGCAAAAAAGAGAACACATTTTGGTAGCTTCCCTTGCTAGTTTTCTTTTAATGTCTCCTTTAATTAATACAACAAGTTAGAGTAGTATTCTACATGAATTATTTGGCCCTTCTGATGATAATTATCAAAATACTTTCCTTATTCTCTTCAAAACCTATAGTCATGATGTTTCCTGCTGATTTGTGGGTTTTGAATTTCTGAGGCTGTGAAGAACCCAAGTGCTGCCATTATATGGAGTGTTGTTCATTTTCATATCATTGTGGTATAACCATGCTTCATCACTTGATCATTGAAAATGCTGAATAAACAACTTAAAGGTGTTTACCCAATATTTTTCTGGTTGGCATTTAAAGATTTTGACACCTGCTTAGTTGATAGGTTTTGCATATCCAACTGGATATTTTAAGTGTCTCGACAGATCTTTTGATTGAGATCTGTTGATTAGCCAAAGTTAGGTCAGGAACATGATTAACAATTTCTGGAGTTGATACTGCTGAAAGTCTCTCAGACTGTGCTTCATCTTTGTCTCTAAAATTTTCTTACTCGAAGTTAGCATACCACTTCTTCACAGATTAGTATGATGGGCACTTGTCAAACAATGTTTACATCATATATTCATGAATTTACTTTGGAGTGTTCTTCTGTGAGAACAGGATCTTCATGATTGCTTAATACTTGAAAATTCCACACTTTCCATTGTAATACTTCAGTCAATGATTTGAAACAAATTAAAAAATAAATTCAGGGATCTTTTTCCAGTTGAGATGACAAAAATAATACCCTGATTTTGGAAAGTGAGTTGAATCAAAAACCTTTCAATACCCCCGCTTCTGTATTGTTAAATATCCCCTTTCTGTCTGCCACAAATGAATGAAATAATGCCATTTATTTGCTATATTGCAAAAATCTTTTATTTATTGATATATTGTAAAGGTATTATTGATTTTTGTTGACATTTTGTATATTAGCCGAGAACAAGTATAAAGGAGGAAGTGGCAGCAGATGTAATGAAAAAAAAAATGATTTAAAGGCTGGAGTTGTGATAAGTTACAAGTTATAAATTACAAGTTATTAGTATATCTTCACTAGATACATATTTTTTTTTTTTTTATACACAGTTACCATTTCTTCATTTTCATAAATTTTTTGAAAATTTTTCAGCTTTTATATTTTTCTTCATGATACATGTTGTCCCAGTGGGCTGCAAATATTTATACCCAGATATATTAAGTGATTTAATGATTTCAAGATAATATTTTTTTCTTTGATTTATGATTCAGGTTTTTTTTTTTTGTTAAAATATACTCACATGTGACTTCACACATCACATCTGGTTTGTCATTGTATTTTCTGTTGAATTCTTTAACTGTATTTAATTTTTTTAATCGTTTCAACCCAAGAAAAGTGATAATACTACTATGACACAAGGAGTTACTGAGCGTGAAAAAAATGAAGATTTTAATGAAGAAAAAAGAGCAGGATTCAGGAAGATACTCAAAATTTGATGGCTAAACTATTATTACATTATTTATTATATTTGATGGCTAAACTATTATTACATTATTTATTATATCCATCATTATCTTAGATACAGGTAGATAGAGAATAATAATAATTCATAAATTCATAAATCCTTTTAGAGGGGACCATTAATAGCTTTGTGCTTTAATTTGGATTTTCCATGAGACATGCTTATTTGTTCTTTTTCATTGAGGATTATTGCAAATCACAGTTTTATGTTCATGCATTATATAAGCTGATATCAATTTTCTATTACCAGACTGTTTAAAAGATAAGTTCTCTAATTGAAATTACGGCTTAGATTTGTGGATTAGCATCGGAGCAAATCAACATCAACATCATTATCAGTGACATTACTTGTGTTGATTATTTCTTGTATTAATTTTAGGTCATACTATATTATGTGGCATTAAGAGTGGTAGTAATGACTAAAGATTTTTTTTTTCTTTTTTAATCATTTTATCCTTTACTTGAATCTATTTAAAGATTTAAAAAATTTGATGTCATTTTCTCTTCAGGTTAGAACACTCTCCTTTACAGAAGGAAAGAATACATCAGTATTTTTTTTCACATGTATCCCTTGTGTGTAAATACTATTCACTACAGAGAAAACTAATGTTTCACTTAATATAATAATTTGTGTAATTAAATATAAAAGCAAAAGGAACAAACCTTAAACACACACACATGGGCTTGCTGAAAGAAGCCATTTTAAAAAAAACAGATATTGTGTCATATTCTGGGAAGTGAGTTGGGCCATCAATAACTTTTCGGCAATCTCTCATATATATGATAAATGATTGACACGAAATATCTAAGAATTTAAAAATAGAATGTGTGAAAACCAGATTTTGATCTTATTTCACTAATTTATGTTGGCATTTTCAAAACACAAATAAAACCTATAAGAATAAGTTGTTACCATAGTAACACTGCTACACAAAATGCTGTGATCATTAAAAAAATGTTCTTTTCAATATCCAACCAGTTTTCACATATTCTATTTTCACACAAATATAAAATTCTTGTTATAAGAAATGTTTGATTTTACATGCCGACTTTGAAGTATGTTCTATGTCTAATTAGTGAAGTCATTGACTATCAAAACAAATTGTAAAGGGTTTTTACCATTCATTTTTCTTTTCATCTGTGCACATGTGAGTTTGGCTTAAAGGTAGAGCAACAGAGACTTTTGAATTGTATTCCAAGTATCAGTTGATTATGTTTATCATACTGAACCTGACTATGTGAAGGTAAAAATATCTGAAACCTTTCTGCCATCATTTTAAAAAATTTGTATTCATTTGTTTTTGTTTTATTTTTGTAGATTTTGAATGCAGAAAATGCTGGTTACGATGCTGCCATTGTGCACAACTTTCGGAACCATGATAACCTTGTTCACATGGGAGCTGGTGCAGGTAAATATTTGCAGCAAACTCAAGATTGTCATAAATGTTGCTTTATATCTACATTGGTTATTAAAAAAAATATATCTTGATGCATCATTTTATATATATATATAAAATGTATGAGTTTGAGTCTAGAAATTGATAGGAAAAATGTTTTTTCTATTACTGTTATTAATTTAAAACTAGTTGAAATATCCATTTATATCAGGTTAAGACTTGAATCACAGCTGGTTATAATGAGGGAAGATTACTTTGGACTGTGATGGTGAGCTGTTAAGTCTTGTTATGTGAAACTCTTGAATATATATAGTCCTGAACAGCCCTAGAGTTTTAGTGATAAAAATAATTATAGACATCTTGAATGCATCTTTAGTAATACCTTGCTTAAGTTTCCCTTTTGCTAATTGAAAGAGACGGCTAAAGAAATAAACTGCTTATACATTATACATCATACTTAACTGGCAAAAGAATGCCTGCTAATTAAATTATTAGTACAAGTAAAACATAATTGTTTATCTTCTGTTGTAGTTGGAATTTCTGCTTAATAAAAGAATTTGCTCTACATGCTTTTATAGCAATGTGAAACAAATGTTAATTTTAAGAAATGTCTATTTTACAATCTTTCTTTGTCAATTAAAACTTTGTCATTATGTAAGGTTCATTTTCAGTAACATCAGTTATGAGTATGGATGGGTTTTGTGTTTGTAGTAATTTAATAAAATTATTGCAGTTTGGAGCATAAAAACAAAACAAAATTTGTTCCTAGTAAGTTTTTAATGAAAAAATATTATGTAAAGTAGATGTATTGCTTTTTTAGTATACTAATATCTTTCTTATCTGAACATGAATGATTAAATAAATGGTTACAAACAGTAATTGTTACTGTAAAATATAATTTTGCATTACAGAAAAGGAGTAAAGCTCTGCCTTTTCCCATGAAGAACAAAACATATTTGTTTAAAAACCTTCTGGGCCCAATAAGTATGCATACCAATTTTTAGGCTTGTACAGAAAATGATTTGGCCATATTAAACAGTCAAATACATTCTTCTCAGTTATACAAGAGGAAGCATTCTCAATCCCATCAATAAGTCCTTCTCGGAAGTAAATGTTGGGTGATTTGGTTAGATTTTGATAAGTAGATTGGGCCAAGAACATTTCAGCACTTTCTTGTGTGTAGGTGTAGTGTGTGCATGTGTGTGTGTGTGTGTGTATATATATATATATATATATATATATATATATATATATATATATATATATGGCTGCAACCTTTCTTTTAAAATCTTTCATTAAATATGGCAGACAATAAAGATATGTGTGTGTATATATATATATATATATATATATATATATATATATATATATATATATATTATATACACACACACACATACATATATAAAAGTGGTCTAATTTCCTGAAACCTTCACATTTGAGGAAATTGGACAAGACAGCTTATATATAAATTTTACTTACCCATGACTGATATTTTTATTCTTATTTAGAAAATAATCAGTGTACTAAATATTGTTTGAAGGATTGATCTAAAGCATTAATATTATTCCATAAATGGATTGGCATGATCAACTTTGATTTGATCTCTGTATTCACTTGCATCTGAACTGTCAAAGTTGGAATAACAAAATTTAGTAAAGGTTTAAAAAAAAAGAAAAAGTAAATTAAAGAATTCTATTTGAAATGTATTAAACATTATCAGATACAGAATTCACCTGAGTGAGGGTGAAAAGTACACCATTTAAAATCCAGTAAGTAGGATGGAGTGGGGCAATAAAAATCTTGTATATAATTTTGAGAAAAGTAAGTAATTTGTTCAAACAATTGAACTTATTCTTTTGTTCAGTTACATTCTACAGACTTCGTTAGGTGTATACTCTACAAGGAAAGTTATTTTTTTTAAATAATGGAGTAAGATTGCAGAAAATGGCAGCTAATATGCTAACACTATACCACCCACAGCCACATATGAAGATAGATGTTCTTTAATTCCCTACCTACTGAGCAAAGAAAACTGTTACATTTTAACCTGACTTACACAACTTGCCAATAAGTTGATATACCATTTTTATAGGTTTTCTCACTCTCTACCTGTTCTTCTTATCAATTGCTTATGGTCACATTATATTCAAATACTAGTTCCCATATGTTAAGCAACATCAAGTGTGGTCAGTACCTAGATAGGTGACCGCTTGGGAATACCAGGTGCTGTAAGCTTTGATGTGTGGGTGGTGCAATGGATAATGGCCCAGAATTTGGAATTGGAGAACTGAATTCCAATTCCTGTTGGGTTCATTATATTCACTTATGCACTTGGAAAAGGTATGAATCCACTTCTTATCCCCCAATTATGGGTTAATTAGTAAGACTTGTATCACTAAACCATTATCTCCCCCCCCCCTAAATTCTTACGATCTAAAAAATATTTTCTGATTTTTAATAACCTGCAAAGTGTTGATAAGCTGTAGAAAACAAATCAGTCAATCTTATCAATTATCTGAAACTCTCATTCATTCCTGATAGGGTAATGTATGCAAAATCTCTCTCTCTCTCTCTAAAAGAAATAAAAAATGGGTGTAGAGAGAGGAGGGGGGAAAAAGTCCTCTCTCTCTCTCTCTCTCTCTCTCTTAGTGATTATACACATGCATGAAGAAAGCTGTAGCATGGATTGGCTGAAATTTTGTGGTAATATTAGTAACACGAGTTCAATTCTCTGAACAAATTTTGAAATGAAGATTCTAGTCTTGAGTAATATATAAAATAATCTGTGCCCTTTACAAGCACATACTTGACAAATTTGATGCATAGATAGTTTGGATCAAACTATTTCTTGTATTTTTAGGTCATTATGGGACACTCTTTAGTGGGTTAGTCTCAAAGGCAATTACTACTGTAGTGAGTTTAATCCTCACTAAGTACTTCACATTTGTGACACTAACCTAAACTTTGTAATTATTTATTATTTTTCTTTTTCTATTAATGTGTTTTTGTGTTTTCTTACTGTACACTTGCTTAAGTTTTGGTTTAAAAAAAAAAAAAAAAAAAATTAAATGCAAGACTGCAGTACCATGATTATCCTCTGTTAATTATTACCTTGAAATTTTTCAAGTGGGTTCTGCTTGGCAAATTTTAGACAAGGCCAAAAACAAAAAAATAATTGTAATTTTTGAGTTACACAGTTATTGGATTTGACCTGCTTATGAACTTGAATGTAAATTAGGTGCACAGTACTTAACCAGTTGTAAATAATATTAACCATATTACCTTGTGATTTTAAATGTCAAGTTGATAATTTTATTTTTTCAAGTTTGCTTTTAATATGACTGAAAGATTAAATAAAAGAATAGACAAATTGGGAAAATTGTGGAGTGATCTACTTATTTAATGTTTTCTTAATAGTGAAGGTGTTCTTTGCTGTTTTTGCTGCAGAAAAACTGAATTGATTGACTTTCCAAAACTTTTAGAAATATATTTGCTTTTAAGTTAAAATGGCGTTAAATGTTAAAGAGAACTTCATCTGTAAATGTTTTGGATTGCATATAAAATTTCATGAAAAATGATGTGGTACATAGACATAAAAAAGATTAGTGAATATTTGAAGGAAAAACCTAACAATTTTTAGGTGTTTATAGAAAGTCACTAATAAAGTAAAGATAGTTCATAAAAATATAGCCCATAAATGTTTGATTTGATGCTTTGCTTGTAAAATTTTTTGTTATGCTAAAACGTTTACTTTTTTCATGGTTGTATTTACACTTTTGTTTTTATCATATTTAGGAAAATACAACAGGTGCAAAACAGTATTTATGGTAACAGAATCCTGACAACAAATTGATTGCTAACTACTGGGGAAGAATTTAATATAGATTTGGATTACTAAGAGATTTTGTTTTTAAATGTTTAATAGAAAATCAACTAAATAATATATTTATACTTTCTATAAGAGGTCTTTATTTACAATATCTTTTAATTCTCATTTAATATTGGGCCTTGAGTTTCCTTTCTTCAATTTTTCATTTGTAACATGATACATAATCTCTTTGAGTGATGCCATTCATACCTCATGCTAGAATTTAATAATTTTTTATTTTTATAATTTTTTAAGTTTTATTTCATTTTATTAATTATTTTGGAAGTGGCCTTCAAACATGGTTATATCACAAAGATTTTCTTATTGCACTCTAGCGGAGATCAAGGACAGAAGATAAAAAAAAACACTTCATTATATAGAAATACTTGTTTTGGTTATAAGCAGTGTGTGCATTTATAGATATTGCTAGTAAAACTTTCAGCACATTTTCCTAAAAACAACTCTTTCTTAATTCATATAATTTCCATAGCAAAATAACCTGAATACTTTAGAATATTTTACTCATTCTTACTTTTTTGATACATCCCTTTATTGATTTAACTTTAAACTTAATGAAGTAGTGGGTCAAATAAAAAAACAAATAGTTACATAAAAAATTAAAGTAAATATTTTATTTACCTTTCTATGTATTATCTATTCTTAATTATTAAATATTTTCACAAACTGTTTTAAGACTTATTGTTCTGCAGTAATAATAATAATAATTTTAGTCAGTTATAATTCTAATGTCTATATCAGGTACTAGAAAGTTATTTACTTCCACTAGACTCTAGAAAACTAACTTTCAAGTAAGATTTATAGTGAGTGAATCAAACCTAGTTTTGATTTGAATACTGTAGCCTATATTCTGAAATTTGTAATTTGGTATTTCAGATACTTGTTGAGAATGGTGTGATTTTAAGATGTTTTTATTTTTTCACTTGACTGAACATTGCTAGAAGGTCTAATATAATAAAAATACTTAGATCTATTTTAATAGGGAAATATGTAATTAAAAAAAGACTTGCAGGAATTGTTTTTATCTGTAAAATATTTTGTCTTAATCTTGTAAATCCTCAACTGAAGAATGATTTTATTAGTAATAGTTTGACTTTGTTTTACTAATAAATCTTTATGGCTC